AGCTCTCCATTCTGGAGCCAGTGGGGAGTGAGAAAGGAAAGCAAATCCAGAAGTGAAGAAATATTCAGGGATGGGGGCTGATTTTTCCTGGGGTTGCCACTTACCATTTCCTGTTGCCTTGGCGAGTTGCTCTGCTAAATCCCTCTTGTTTATTGATTTCAGCGCCTCCACGGTCACCTCCACCTGCGTAATCTCCTTCGTAGCAGCTGATCAGCTTGTCAGCGAGGTCGATGACATCCACTTTCTTCAGTGTCCCGCGGCCGATATGTTCATATCCCTCCTTCAGTGGCATTTCGTGCAGTTTGAACTTGAATTTCTTCAGTTCATCTTCCTCCAGTTCCTCCAGGGTCTTCAGCAGATGATCTCTCAGGGTCTTCGCCATGCTGCCTCCTTGGAGGAGAGCTATGCACCCTGCCAGGCCAGGGCAGAGAGAGTCAGGAAACAGCTGCACGGCTGCAAAGGGCAAGTTTCTTCCTGAAGCTCCGGAGAGCTGAGAGGTTGTTTGTTTAGAGACCAAAAAAAAAAAAAGAAAAAAAGCTGAGAGTGCAAAACCGAAACTAGAACTGTACGGCACTAGGCTGACAGCAACCCCCCTCCTTTCCCTTCTCCAGCTCCCCCCCCCACAACCAGCTCTGTGTGTTTGATTAATATCCTCTATGCAGATTCCAAAACAAGAGCCTGGTCCCTTGTCTCCAATTCTGCTGGCAACATCTTGCACCAGCATAATAACTGCTTTCCTATTCTTACACACGCCCCCTTTCCTTTTGCTCTCTGTGGTAGATAAAGACACTGATGATTCGAAACCAGCTTTGTCTCTCTCATATGCAAGTTTTTCACCATTGATTTTAGTGACATTATTCCTGATTGATGTCAGTGCGATGGAGAGGAGAATCAGGCTCAAGGAAAGTTTGGAAGCTGGTGAATGTTTTAGATCAATGCTCTGGACCAAAAATCCAACAGAAGGGAATGGAAATGGAAAACAAAGGATAGGACTGAGTCTAAGTCCAGGTTTTGAAGCTTAGCCAAGATGTGAGGCTGTTTGTCTCAGTACAGTTTGATAAGAAGCAGGGTCTGTGACTGCTTCCTGTTCGGAACCTGCGGAAGGAAGATGTTGGGAAATCAACAGGGGATGGTCACCAGTCAAGGTGTGCAGGGCCGTTAAAGTGGGTCCTACCGTCAAGGTGGGCAAGGTGCAGTGAAACAGGTTAAGTCAACGACCCGGGCTTCCCTTGCTGTGCTGGGGTGATTAATGGGGTGCCTATCTTCCTTCTGTTCCCCCACAGACCCAACCTTGCCTGTGAGTGCACACACCAAAATTGCTACTTAGTGATTGTTATGCAGGCCTGGGTGGATCCTGTGGACAATTTACCAACGTGAACATTGGCTGGTCAGGAAAAATCCCACGATGCTCCGCTTTTTAGACACAGAGGACATTTCGACAGGGTGAAAGCCTCTCTGAATAATTCATAAATTCCAAGGCCAGAAAGGACCATTGTGATCATCTAGTCTGATCCCCTGTGTAACACAGGCCAGTAACACAGGCCGATGAAGTGAGCTGTAGCTCACGAAAGCTCATGCTCAAATAAATTGATTAGTCTCTAAGGTGCCACAAGTACTCCTTTTCTTTTTGCGAATACAGACTAACACGGCTGTTACTCTGAAACAGGCCAGAGACCTGCCCCAAAATAAATCCTAGAGCAGATCTTCTAGAAAAACATCCAACCTTTAAAAATAGCCAGTGATGGAGAATCCACCACAACACTTGGATCAGTTGTTCCGATGATTAATTACTCTCACCTTTTTTAAAATTTGTGCCTTATTTCCAGTCTGAATTTGTTTAGCTTCCAGCCATTGCACATATACTGCAAATATGTTCTTAAAGTCTGCACCTGTGTGTTGGTCTCCAGAAAAGGTAAAAACCAGAGTTTCTGTCACACAAGAGATATTTATCCATCTGTCTGCTGACATATTGTTACATTGCACTCCATATTCTTTATGGAAATATGCTTATGAATATGACATAACTGGAATATGCTTTATGCAAAATGAGTCAGTAAGATATCCTTGGAAAAGTTATCATCTACTGAATGTGTTCATCCTATTTGCATGCATATATCATTCTTATGTCTGAAGTTCGAAATATGAAGTGTAAAACATGTTATTAATGTAGTTATGCCAAGTGAGGGCCATTAATGATACTTCAGGAACTTGATGACTCTTAAGCAAGAAATAATTGGCTGCGAATGGATTTGTTTCCCTGTAAGTCTGTGGGACGCCTGTGAGGAGGAGGGGCAATGGGGGTCCCTGTGAAGATGTGTCTGTGTCACCTGATGCTGGAATTTTATTTTTTTCCATGAGGCATGGAAGGAGGAGGCCTGGAGGGTCTAACTCAGCAAGACAAAGTTAAGGGGTGCCCATTTTGGCAGAAGGGCTAGACTCAGTGGTATTTCAGCCCATCAAGTGACAGTCCCAAGGGGGTCCTGACGAGAGAACCTGTCACACATGTAAATTGAATATTGTCTCATTCACAGTGGGTCCCTTATTACCAGTCTGAACTGAATGAAAATGAAGGATTGTGAGGACATCAAAGAAGAGAATTCTAACAGGAAAAGACAAGGAGCGGGGAAGGAAAAACCCTATCTGGAAGAATACTTCAAAGGTTTGCTCCACTATATCTGGGAGACAAAGATGACAAGTTGGCACCCTTCATGGAGAAAGAAAATGGACAGTACTTTTGCTTGACTGAAAACACTGAGGAGACCTTTGGGTGAGAGAAACTTACTTACTAGTTAAGTTTAGTCTCTAGATAGTGCGTTGTGATTTTGTTGTATATGTACCATTTATTTCCAACATTCTTACTCATTATTACTTGAATTTCTATATCTTTGATAACAGTCATTCCTGTTGTCACTATAAACAGATCTCAGTGCTGTGTTGTTAAGCAAAGTGCTGGTCCTGAGTTGGATCTTCCAAGCTGGTGTGTTCAGTTCCTGTGGGAACAGCAGGCCGGGTAATTCTGTTCAGTGGATAAGGGGCTGGACACTGCAGGGAACGCTCCGAGGACTTGGGGGTTGGTGTCTGCCTATCTCCAGCCATACAAAGAGCAAGGCCTGTGGAGGCTTGGAAGGCAGTGCTGGTTGTGCCAGAGGCTGGTGGTTTCGGGGAGCTGATCCCCCAGCAGACAGACAAGACTGCTTCATGCTAAGGGCAGACAATGGAAAGTGGGGACCCTTGGGGAGCGTCACACATGCTCTCTTTGGCCTTTCCTACTGGCTGGCTAAGGCGGCTTCTCTTCTCAGTTTGCTGGGTTTTGTGCATCTCATTCATAGCACCTAGCTCTCCCCATGCATTGCAGAGGTAGGGTCGGCGCCTAACTCAGCATTGTCAAGTCCGGTGGCCAGGTGGCTAAACGTTAGGACTTGCAACACTACAGTCCCTTTGTAGATCTAGCCCATAGATCCTTTGGCTCTCAGGCCATTGCCTACACTACAAAATTAAGTTGACCTAACTTAATGTCTACATACAACCACTTTAGTAATTACGTCGCTTGTGTGCGTCTACACTTGGCTCCTTGTGTCGGTGGTGCACGTCCTCACCAGGAGCACTTGTACCGATTGCACTGTCAGTGTGGGGCATTGTGGGATGGCTTCTAAAGGCAGTAACAGTCAATGTAAGCAATGCAGTGTCTCTTTGCTGACACTGCATCAGTATAATGTTGTCGACCTTGACCCCATGCCGCTCGTGGAGGTGGAGTTATTAAGGCGGGGCAGCGGGGCAGTTACGTCGGCGGGAGCAAAATGTAAGTGTAGACATTTCCATAGCTAGATCGGCGTAAGCTGCCATGCATCAGCCTAACTCTGTCGTGTCGACCAGTCCTCAGCCAGATCCTTCCTGCATTATCCTCCAGGCAACTTAATCTGTGTCTCTGGGCTGACCAGCTCAATGTACATCCTACACTAGCCCAGGTCCTTGTGGGCCCAGGAGTCTCCATGCCGCAGGTAGTTGCATATGTCTGTTATCCCTGCCTCGCTCTCTGTTGGAGATGGAGGAGGAGTGAGGGTAGCAGGGTAAAACACCCCTGTTTCTTAGGTCTGTGTGTTAACTTCAGTGGAATAAATGGGCCCCAGAGTCAAAGGTGTTAACAAGTGACCCTGTCATTGTCCAATGCTAAACAGTTAAACATCGTCCGGGGTTTCCATGTTGGGTGAAAGAGAAATTAGCTGAGCTGGAGCTGCTGCTCTTGCTGTTAAAATCCAGTCCTGTTTCCTTTAAGACAAACAGATGCAACAGGGGAGAGAAAAGAACAGCCAAGATAGAAAATGCAGCTTCTGTATCTGGTGTTGACTCTCACGTCAACCTCACTACTAGAAAAACCCAGGCCTGGCACACGGTCTAGCCACTCTGATATCTGGCACACTCACACTAGTGTTGGGCCGTTTAAGGTATTGCTTTTAGCTGCCTCTCTGCTCACGGGCTCACAAAGAGTGCCGCAAAAGATACAGTCTTGGCCAGCTAAGCCAGACTCTTATTAAAGAGGAAGCAAAAAGGGAGAATGAGAGGAGAGAGAGGAAGGAGGAGATCAGGTGAAAGAGGAGGAGCAAGAGCAGGAGCTCAAGTGTCACATCCCAGGTGGAGTTTGGGATTTAGCTGGTGGAGGTGGCAATGTCATTTGGGTCCCTCTAGCTGGCCTGGTCTAGTCAGGGCATCCATCAGGATCAGGACGATGAAGGTCCACGGGTGTCATGGTGGATCTTGGGAGCCCAGAGATGCTGGGGGTTGGTAGCCATGATGGTAAAGTTTGCTTCTTCCAGTTCACTCGCCTTTACCATTTTGATACCCTGCTCCTGAAGTCTCTTTTGAAAGTACCCCAACAAGGGGTGATGGATGAAATAATCCCTCCCCTCATTGTTTGTTCATCACTTAGGCCTAATTTCCAACACACCAATTTTGGCTCATTCATTTCTGATTCTAGTCTCCTCTTGTTTATTCGTCATGGTCTCACCACAGCCCTTAAGGACATAAATCCACACCATGTAGAGGTCAAGCACAGGAGTTTATTACGTACAGCGCTGACGGAGTGTCACCTTGCTTATTAGGCTCAGAGACACTGTCAATCAATTGATTACAATGGAATATTTGGATTTTCCATGGGCGGGGGAAAGTGATGGAGTAGGCAGTCCCGCTTCCCTGGATAGGTCTAGCAGCAAGACATGATAGCACAGTAGCCAATGGTCAAAGATTGCATAATGTTTCCGCCCATGGTCTCAAGTTGACAAATTAACATTTAACATTTAATTAGTACTAATGTATTGTATAAATACTAAAATGTATTAGTATAAAATATATGTTGAATTTTGATTTGGGGTCCATAGGAATGAAGTAGCTCCTTTGATTGTCCAACAGATACATATCTAGGGGTAAAAGCAAAGAAACAGTGAAAGTATATGGCAATAAAGATTGTCTTTCAAGTTGTTGATTTTTGTTTTAAGGCAGGCATTGGTCCCTGGGAAAGGGAGGTGGGAGGAGGCCATATCTTATACTGACATGCTTGAAACTTTCATAAACTCAAGGTTGGATGTGTGGGAAGAACATCTCCCTACAGAAGAAACTAACACAACAGAAACAGGGCTTCTTTGTTCTATTTGCAACTTTTAAATAAGACACAATTATTGCCCCCACCATCTGGTGTTTTGCTGACCAGGCAAAAGCAAGGTTATCTATGGTTATTCTGCTTTCTTTTAGCTATTGCGAGGACTCTGATCTCTTGACCAAACTCTGGACTTTGGGCCTGTACACAAATCCATATACCAGGTTATTACATCAGCAATGGATTTTAACCCTTCATGTTTGGACTAATTTAGGCTTTTTGTCTTTAACTGCTGGTGATTTTTATAGACAATTTGATGTAACAGGCTGAGATGAACTGTTGTTACCGTAGACAACTAAGAGTACAGGTCTCTGTGCAACAAAATGGAGCAGCAGAGAAGATAAGGCAAGAAAGGAGAAGAGAAACTACGTGGAAAAATTCCTAGGGAGATGGTGGCTACCATAGTGTATAATGGATTACCTGCAGTGCAGCTGGGGATTGTGATAAAGGGGCTGCTATAGTGTACGATGAATTGCTCCTGAAAGACACCCTGTGGTCTTTCAAGGCGCTGGGTGGAAATTCTGAACGGGTGCATGGGCTATTTCGTAAGCAGGATGGGCCTGCCACATTTTGCTAAAGAAGCAACATCTTTAAACACAGAATTAGGGCTGCATGCGAGTGATATTTTTGGAAAGATACATGCTGTGAAGCTTGATCAAAATGACTTGCAATAATGGAAAAACATATATAAACAAAGTGATATGCAAAGCATTCCTGTCATGATGATTTATTTACTGCAGAGCTCTATCACAGAGAAGAATATTGCAGAGAGGACGGCCGGCCGGCTTTGTGGCATAGGACTTGTGTGACCTTAAGTAAGTTGTTGAATCCCTTTTCCCCCTCTATGTGGATAAGACTTCTTCCTGTGTCCGTTGTGTCGATTTGGATCATAAGCCCTCAGGGCAAGACTTGTCTCTTACCGTTTATGTGCAGCACCTGACAAAAAGTGTCCCCAAGGCACTACTGTAATATAAATAATGATATCTAGCCTGATCTTCCCTGCTTCTATTGGAGCAGCCAGAGAAGTGGGTTTGAATAGGCCAAAGCCCTGAATTGGAAGGGTGATATGGTGTTGGAATCTTTCCCAAAGAGAGTTTTTCTCCTAACTCTCTGTCAGGCATTTGAGTTAAATATGGATGCACAAAAAGCAATCAAAGAGCAGTTTAAAACAGCCTAGGGTGACCAGATAGCAAATGTAAAAAATCGGGACGGGGGTGGGGGGTAATAGGTGCCTATATAAAAAAAAACCCCAAAATCGGGACTGTCCCTATAAAATTGGGACATCTGGTCACCCTAAAATAGCTTGACTTAAAAATCACTTCCCTCTTTACCTCCACTCCCACGGTTCTTGTGATGTCATCATTCTACTAATTTCCCAGTCACCAGTAGTATCTTCCAAGGTAAACAAGGCCTACATTTTTAATGCAAAAAACAAGAGTAATGAATAAAATCACCCATGCATCCCACAGGAAACATGCTCTCCCTGCCCACTGAATGCACACACTCTAAAAACACATATACTTTTAAGCCTTTTTTGTTTATTAAAAAGGCCACAAATGCATTTCCTTTCTTTTGTGGGTCACCTTTCAGTTACTTGTCTTTCTGTCCCCTGAGCTTGTGTTTCAAAGCTACATGCTGAATCTTCACATTCTACCACAGCACAGAACCTGCACCAGCAGATGGATTAAATGTTTGTATCCCGGCTGCTTGGAGGGTTAGGATTGCTGCCCTCAGACAGATTCCTCAGGAACCAGAATGAATGACAATAGCTCCACCTCTTTTCATTTGCAACTAGAATCTTTGCTGTTTCCTGTGAGATTAGGGGGCCTGATTAGTGGAACTCCAGTTTGTGTGTGTGCATCTACTGCCCCCTATTGGCTGAGATTTTATGTGTGCATGCTAATAACTGATGGTTATGCATATAAAAAACAAAACCCAAAGCAAATTTCCCTACTGGAAATGAGATGTGTGGGGAATATTGTAAGGAAATTAATTAACAGAGCCCTCCCAAAGTATTACGCTGAGAAGGGAAAAATCAAATGCACAACTACAAAATGGGGAATAACTGGCCAGATGGTCATGCTGCTAAAAAGGATCTGGTGGTGATAGTGACTCACAAATTGAATTTGAGTCAAGAATGTGATGCAGTTGCGAAAACGGCTAATATCATTCTGCTCTGTATTAACAGGAGCGTCGTATGTAAGACAGGGTAAGTAACTGTCCCGCTCTGCTCAGCCCTGGTGAGCCTCTGCTGTAATATTGTGTCCAGTTTTGAGTGTCACGCTTTAAGAAAGATGTGGAGAAAGGCCAGAGGAGAGCAACAAAAATGAGAACAGGTTTTGAGAACCTGACATATAAGGAAAGGTTAAAAAAACGGGGAATGTTCAGGGTAGAGAAAAGAAGACTGAGGGGAGATCTGATAAGTCTTCATCTGTGTTAAGTGCTGGTATAAAGAGGACAGTGGTCAATTGCTCTGTATGTCTGCTGAAGGTAGGACAAGAAATAATTGTCTTAATCTGAAGCAAGGGAGACTTAGGTTAGATATTAGGAAAAACCTTTCTAACTATATGGATAATTAAATGCTGGAACAGGCTTCCAAGGGAGGTTGTGAAGTCCACATCACTGGAGGTTTCTAAGAACAGGTTGGACAAACATCTGTCAGGTGGGTCTAGCTTTACTTGGTCCTGCCTCAGCGCAGGGGGCTGGACTTGGTGACGTCTCATGGTCTCTTCCATCCCTACATTTCTATGATTCTATGAATGGACCAGATGTTAGGGAACAAACAGAAAGAAACTGGCTAAAGCAGGGACTATGAGCCATCTAAGCATAGAAATAGGCTGAATTCAACAACGGGGACTGGTGTCTCTGGGACTCATTCCTTTCCCATTCTCCCAGAGAAGCTGATGGTAAACTGCCCTTTGATTTCAGTGGCACAGGCCTTCTTGTCCATAGTTTCTGGGTAGGAAGGAAGCGGGTAATAATATCTTGCATAGGTGCCGACTCCGGTGGTGCTCCAGCCCTGGAGCACCCATGGAGAAAAATTAGTGGGTGCTTTGCACCCACCAGCAGCCATGCTCCCCACACTCCCTCCCACCTGTGGCCCCCGCTGATCAGCTCCTCCCCTCCCTCCCAGCGCCTCCCGCCCGCCGCAGAACAGGGCTCAGCTCCTTCCCTCCACGGGCAGCGTCCTGCTGCCACTCGCACTGGAATCCCCTGATTCCCCTGAGGTGAGGCTCCTTGTGCAAACAGGGCTGGCTTAGCCCAGGAGCAAGCCACCCTGATCCCAAATTACCAGCCCTTCCTGAACCCCCAGACCCTGAGCTCATCCCTTCCTAATTGGAGAGGGGCGGGTCCCTCTCCAATCCCCCAAGCCTGAACTCCCTTGCTTGTCCTCAGAGGGGTCAGCTGTGTCAGTTTAACTGTCACTCCAGGGACTTGCCCAGCTCCCCTCTCTCTTCGGGGCCACCTGGGCCCTCGTTAGCCTCAAGTCACGTGGGCAGGAAGATCGTTTGCATAAAGGAATGCTGGAGAAGCCAATCAGGAACCAGAGAGAGGTTTTAGGGGCACTCCCCAGGGGTCCTGTGGCTGGAGACATGTCTATGGCCGCCAAGCCTGTGATGCAAGGAGTCAGGGCAAGGAGCATTGGGGTCCCCATGGCAGAGAGGGATACTGGGAAATGGACCAGGAAACAAAATTGTATCCAAGAAATGAGGGCTCAAATTGGGACAAATGAAAAAGGGGTGGTGCCCTCCCAACCTCTGCCTCCAACCCAAGCTATGCCCACTGGAGACACAAAAATGAGATACAGCCGATTGCACATGGGTTAAAATGTGATCACACAAGCTCTGCAAGTCTTTGGTTTATTATAAGAAGCTCTTGGGTCTTGTGACACATGAGACAGCCCAGTGTTTCCACTTCCATCTGTCTAATGCCATGTTTCTCACTCCATTATCTGTCTCCATGGCAGCAAAATCTTTCTTAATGGTTTTCTTATATGACCTCTGTTGTCCTCCTCTTTTCTGTTTTCCTCTAGGTGGACTCTAGCCAAGGGCTTATCTAGGAATACTGTTTTCTGACATCCATAAATTTGCCCAAACCAATTCCTCCTTCTTTCTCCAATCATTGTCTCTACAGTCTGTTGACCAGTTCTTTGTTACACATCAGCCTTGGTTACATTGTCCCACCAGGGGAAACAGAGAATTCTTTGCAAGCATCTCTGATGGAATGCGTCAAGTTTCCTGTTGTGGGCTTCTAGCATTTTCCAGGTTTCACGAGCATGTAGCAATGTGTGGGCCACAAGACTATTGCAAGACTATCTTGGTTCTTCCTATTTTTCCAGATATTTTCCAATCTCAAAAAAGTACCACTTGCCTTCCCAGTTCTTGCTTCCACCTCCTTATGGGGTTGGCCACCAGCATTGGGTATGCTTCCTAGATACACAAAGTCGCTAATCATGCCGTATTCTTTACTATCAATCACATGCGTGCCATCATGGTTGACTCCTCTTTCGACTATCATGACTTTCATTTTCTTTTGGCTAACTCTACGTTGGCGTCCTCACATCTGACATTGACAGGAGCCTTTTTCATGGCATCTTCATCTGGGTCCCTCAGAGCAATGTCACCCGAGCGATACACGTTTGGGCAGGCTGGGTTGAGGCTGCACGGGGAGGGGAAGGAGCTGAGGGTGAGCTTTCGGAATGAGAGAAGGGACCAGAGCTTGGGGCAGAGCTAGGCCTTCACTGGGGTTGGTGCTCACTTTTATTACAGGAACTTATCATGTCTGCACCAGAGTGAGCACAGTGGTCTGGCTGAGACTCCAGCTGGGGAGGAGGTTGTGAAGTTGTGATGTGAAGCTTGTTTAGGTTGTGTGTGTTGGGGGGAAGGGGACTGTATTCTGTATGTTTCTTACTGTTTGGTGAAAATTTTGCTGGTGGGATGGGGAAATCTGTGTAATGGCCCCCACACAGCAGGAGTTCTCCTCTTGGTTTGTTCCTCGGGTACAGATATAGGGATTGTTCTACTGTAGCATAGTGTCTAGTCCAGCGGTTTGACTCTCCCTCTTAGGAGGGTGGGTGCATGCTGTTGTATTAATTTAGATGGAATATATGGGCTAAAGGTGTCAGCATAACCCTGCCAATTGTCTGACATTTAAACATGTTAAACAAGGCCTGGGGTTTGGTAGACAGAGACTTCAGCCTGATTTGTACCATGGCAAACACACAACAAAATTCATGGCAAAGGTGAGAAATGTATTCACTGAAACACACACAAGGAGAAGAATCAAAAGGCGGTAAAGAGCAGTGAAAATGAAATGGATTGTGTACGTAAAACAAACAATCAAAACCTATCCAATTCTCTTTTTGGGGACTGGATACTGGTTAAAGGCTCTTATTCAGTCAGAGAGTCCTTCTTGTTGGGGGAGAAAGGGTTGGTTCTGTTGTTCAGTTTTGAATCATGAATGAAAGTCACTTTCTTGCTTTAAACAAAACAGACCAACACAGAATGGGGAGAAGAGCTAGGAAAGTAAAGATGAGGGAAATTCGGGTTTTGTTGATGTTCTCAGGACACAGGGCAGCTGGTCAGTCATGGATGGAGGCTTTGGGCTGGCATGTTGGCCATGGCACCTGTTGCTCTGGAGTCTCCTGTTCACCTCCCCCATCAAGTACATCATCTGTTGGTCTGGTCAGGTCCCTCTCTTTCATTGGTCCTTCACAGTCTGGACAGAGTGGGAGAGACCATTTCATCTCATCATGCTGGTGCCATGCACTGCAGTTGATTTCACGATCAGATGAAAAGCCCAGAGGGAGCGACAGGACAGGAGAAAGGTGGGGGGAGGGGAGGGGGAAGGGCAGAAAGGAGCAGACGAAGGAAGGGAAGAAAGAGCAGGATCTCCCATATATGAGGTTGGGGTTCTCTCTGGTACAGCAACGTCATGGGTCCCCATTGGAGTACCAAGGTCTGGTGTCCCAGCAACAATCATTGTGTCGCGGTAGTGGTGATGGTAAAAGTAAAGTGGTTCTTTTGTTCTCCCTCTAAGTCTCTTTTTAAGAGCTCCAAACAGGTGGTTGGCAGAATAATCCATCCTCATTATTTCATCCACCCATTAGGCCTAATTTCTGACACACCAATTTCAGTTCATTGATTTCCAGTCCTCTGCTCCTCTTGGTTACCACTCAGAATCTTAACACAGTCCTGGAATGGTGTCAGTAGACCCTCTGTTTACATGAAGACAATCTTTCTGTTCCCCCTCTCATCTTTTCTTAAACAGTTTGATATCACAGATCATTGTGGCAATGCATGAACCTTTACATGCTTTTCACTATGTCGGCTAATAATTAAGGTAGACCCTGCTAGGCCCCAATTATTACAGCAGGGCTCCTGTAGAGGTTACTCCCAGTGGGATTCTGAGTGACTGAAGAAAATGCAGAAAACATCAGGGAAGCCGCACAAGGGATGGGGGATGGCCACGGATGCAGTTTTTTGGCGGGAATTGCTCCCCCCCAAACAGAGGTGAGGCATGCGGGGGCTCATGGGTTATGTCCTGCTGCTCCCCATCATTTCTGCAAGTGCCCAGCTGAAGGAGGCTGTCTTGGCTCTGCTGACTCGGCGGATGAACGCCACCGCCTGGGTCCGAGTGGAAGTCGTGCTCCCCTTCTGTGTGCTGGGAGCCTTCCTGTTTTCTGTGGAACTGTGACTGCCCGCCGTTGTGCTGGGTAAGGGGGTGTGGAGGAAATGAGGGAAGGGAGACTGAGGAGGTGGAGGGAAGAGGTAGTGGGGAAGGAAGGGGGTGGAATAGGGCAGGGGGAGGGGAATGTGGCAGTGTGGGGAGGGGGATGGAGAAGAAAAGGGGATAGGGGAATCGCGGGAGAAGTGGGAGCCCAGCATGAAGCATCCCCTCAGTAGCAAATGGGGCTCTCCCATTAAGCAGGCCCATCAAACCCTCACCCTGACAAGCCCTACTCCCCTGCACCGGGACTCCTTTGACAAACCCCCCTCACCCAGACCTCCACCCCACCAAGCCCCAACCAGCTGCACCTGGACCCCCACCCCATCAAGCCCCACTCCCCTGGCTCCCAGACCCTCCACTGAGCCC